ACTGCCCATCTGAATAACGGGAGATTCTAAGAATTAAGCAATTATTCCTAGGATTGAACTCACTAGTGCACCCTGACAGACAAAGTATAACTGATCAACTACACTTCCTTGCTCCAAAACAACTTCTTCTGGTAAGTAGAACTCTTCTTGCAGCCTGGCAACCTGCAAGGAGTAAAGAGCACAAGAGAGAATTATTGAAAAAGTTCATACAATTATAAAATAGATCAACATGTATAATTTGTTCAAACAAAAAGAATACTCACAATCTGTTGAAGGAATTCTGCTGAACATCCTTTGAACAGTGGTGTCCTTTCAATATATGGCATGTACAGTGTTTGTGAAATCTGCAAACGCAACACAATGTATGATACATCTTAAAAGACTCACAATAGAAGAAGTTTTCAAACTGTATTTGGAATAATGGCAAGATATCTAAAATATAAATCATCACCTTTGCACGAATAGAAATTGGGATATCCCGAAGAACAGAGGCTTCAGTGCGGCTGCTTTCATACTGCAACCTCAAATGACCCTTGATTTGTTCTCTGATGTCCTTTCCAAGTTTATGTCTGTTCATATACATGATAGCTTCTTTCATTTGATCCCTGAATCGCTCGGTTGCCGAGCCTTTCACAATAATTGCAGTCATGTTACCGATGAGATAAGCTCCAAGAACCATACCAAAGGAAACATATATCATGATAAATATCATTTCCCTTAGATTTACAGCATGAATGTCACCATAGCCTGCAAAGGAAAAAGAATATCATATAAATTTAAAATAAACAAAGGTTGCATGTTTCTACAAAGATAGTTGCGGAAAGTGGAAATTATTTGTTTAAGCATGAGACCAAAACTTACCAACAGTTGTCATGGTGACGATGGCAAAGTACATTGATGTAATATAACGTGTGGTTAGATCAATATCCCTGAAATGAGAATAGCTATAGTCTCCTAACTGCAAACTCCCTATCCATGTATATCCTTCCATTGATTCAGGAAGTGTTGTTGCCAGGTAATAGAAGATGCAAGCTGCCGTGTGTGTAAAATAGAGCTCCACAACTATGAGTTTCACTATTCTTGTGAACAGGTAATTAACACGAATGTCCTTTTCCAAATCCCTAAAAAACTGTGTAACTTTCTGAGTTCTTGTCATGCGAATCCACAATAAGTATCGTACTTCTTCTTTACGTCCACAAGCCTGTTAGAGTTCATTATATGTAAACGAGATCAGATAAGGTAAATATAACTACATCATAAGCTCCACACTGTATGTGAAATCAGTGAAAATAACCCGGGAGCAAAAGAATGACCTTATAGATAACATCCCAAGGGAAGCAACCAAGTAAATCGAAGATGAAGTTTGATTTGCAATATCTGGATTCATAAAGCAGAGAAATCATGGTTACATGTGTAGTCAGAGAACATATCGTAAAGTACAAACTGTTGGATGTAATCCTGTAGTAGGGAGTTTTTTCTTGCTTGTGTTGCTTCTGAGTAGCTTGTGGTGTATAGTCTGAGTAAGAGTTCTTGAACATATTGGGTTTGAGCAAGAAAGCTCGGCTAGAAAATCACCGAGTCTGAATCGTATACAAGTACATGTTCCTATATGTCTGAGTTGGATAATAATAAAACAGTTCATGAGGTGTGTATATGCATAAACAAAGGTTGCATGGTCTTCAAATAATAAGGAGAAAAGGAAGAGCATGGGTTAAGCACTGCAAAATTGGAGGAATATTGTTCTCGTCTTTGTATTCATGTGCTTGAGCAAAAAGCCAACACAGATGCCTGAGCAGAAACCCTCTTACATTTTTCCTCTCTCGAACAATTATCTAAATGTGCGTCGTTGTGTGTTAGATGAAACTCTCATATATATTTTTTGTGCGAATGAAAAACTCTCGTATCGTTGCAAGGATAAATTTTGAAAATACAGCTTGCAAATGCCCCTCTGGGAAGAGTTTTCATGGAGCAACATTAAAATAACTGAGAGCCACAGCACATTTCTCTTAGAATCCATCTGTTTTAATGACTGGTGTTTTCCATTCGTTTTAGTGAGTGGTGTTCATCTAAGGACGAGAAGCAAACATCTGCAGTACCACGTACGTAGGGTGCAAATATTAGGCGATAATGCAGTGCTGCAGTTCAAATTCCAAACATGTGAGGCAGGAATATTACCGGACGGCAATAGAGGTTGGATTGTATACGATGCAGAGTGTGTCCGGGTCACGGTAGGCCACAAGAAACCTCAGAGCAATATCAATAAGGAAGGCAATCTGGCCAACCATGTCCAAGAGGAAGAGGTTCCAAGGCAGCCCCCTGAAGAACCCAAATTCCAAGGGTGTAAGGAAGGAACTAAACGCTGCCCAAAACACTATGAACCTTGTCCATATCCGATACCACCTGCAGAGACGCCACCCAAAACAAAACCACGAACCACTGAATTAGCTGCATTCCCGTCGATACATACAGCTTAAGCTGAAACAGTTTAAGTTGTTCGTCCTTTCTAGTATTGGTTTAAACATGCATGACAAAAATGTGAACTTGAAGCTTGCAGCATTCAACTCTAATTCATTGATTTGTAGCCATATAACCTGTTCTCCTAATTTGCAAAGAAGAATTTGCGGAAGAAGAAGGAACGGGCGGAGGATCGGTGGCGTGGCAGGGCGGCGGCACGTACTCGTTGTCGGGGTGGGCGATGTGGCCGCGGAGGAACCCGCCCTCCACGTCGTCGGCGAGGCGGCTGAGGGAGCGGAGCGAGGGAGCGCGGCTGCTCCGCGACGACTTCAGCCGGTCGGGCAGCACGTCCACCTGGTACTCCTTCTCCGCCTCCTCTTCCTCCTCCCCGACCCTCGGATTGGGCCGCAGCCACCTCCCCATTTGCACGGCATGAACACACCTCCGAATGCCAGTGAGTGATGAGCTCGATCGATCGAGCCCCCGCGCCGCCGGCTGCCCAGTTTCTGTGAACATCGGAGGTCTTGTCACATGGATCAGTCCGAATCGCTGATATTCTCGCCGATTCCCTTTTTGCGCGGCTTTAGGGCTCTTTGGTTTGCAGGGCTCCAAGAGGGAACAGGAAAAACATAGGAATGCATGTGCCAAAGAGAAAACTAGAAAACAAAACAATTTTGCTGACTTGGATGTTTGCCCAAATTTTCTGCCTTTTCTTCTCAAAATTCATGACAGGGGGTGATGCATTTATCTGCCTTTTTATTGTATATAGCAAATGTGCCCGTGCGTTGCAACGGAAGACAAAAAAATATGTCTAACCAAATAAGTATAACTTAATATGCTGAAAATATGTCTAACCAAATAAGTATGACTTAATATCCTGATATATGAGCATACTCTATTTTAACATAGTGGCTCACCATGTTGTCATTTTTTTCTCACCCTAGCCGATGATAGTTGCGATGTTCACGTGTTCACAATGCATTTGACGCGGTAAATCCCAAGGCTATGAGTTTGCCAGTGCATGCCACACTTGTGGGAATGTTTAAAACTTAAAAAACAAATCCTATTGACCACGAATGTCACTTCCCTAGTTTTGGTATGACCTAGACTAGCTAGTCATGTGTGCATCATGTTTTATTTCCATTTAAATTTGAAATGAGGATTTGTGAAATCCTCAGAATCATTTTAGAAATGACCCAAATAAAAATTGCTCCAAAAAGGTCCAAGAAAATGCTCATGTTGCTCTCTGAAAATATTGGATAGAGATAAAAATCAAACCAATATTATTAGGAGCTCATAAGTATTTATTTTGGGCAATTGGAATTAACGCATCATTATTTGCATTGGATATATATATGTTATATATATTATATATGTCCAAAAATTATGCCAATTGTTGAGGAGCTTTGGACTAATACCACTAGTTCCTACAAAAAATGGCATAAGAAAATAAAATGATTTAGTATTTTTGTTAAATCAAAACAAATGTCAAAAAATAGAAAAGAAAAACAAAACAGGAGAAAACTTACCTGCGGCCAGCTCCTGTGCTGGCCCAGCACTGTGTGGCCTGGCCGGCCCAGTTGGCCAGCCTAGCCCACCTGTTCCCCCTTCCCTGTCGTCTTTCTCCCGCCAGAAGGACGGGCGCGTGCCCGACGCGCGCACCGCCGCGCCGCGCCACCTCCTCCCTCCCTCCATGCCTGTCTCTCCGTTGATGCGTCTGGACGACGCCACGCGCCCCCCCTGGACCCTCTCACTCTCCCCAGTCCTCTCCTCTCCTCTCCCTCGCTCTTACTCTCGTGGCCGAGACCGCCGTCGCCGCCGTCCACAGCCACCGAGGCCTCGGCCACTGCCGCGCCTCCCCGACGCGCTCCGCAGCTTCTCTGCGACTCCCTCGTCCTCCTCGTCGAGCCACGCACCTCCGGACGGCCTCCATCATCGCCACCGTCGTCTTCTTCATCGCCGGCCGCCGTGGATCTCCACCGCCTGCACGTCGCCGTCCGGCCGTCCCCGAGCTCGCTGTTGACGCCATCGAGTCCGCCGTGAGCCCCTGCATCGATTCCCCCTTCTTCCCTGCCTCCCCACGCTCTGTAGCCTTGCGCCCGCTCGAGCCGAGCTCTGGCCGCCGCCGCGAGCCTCGCTCCGGCGAGCTCCGCCGCCCCCGCAACCTCTCGTCGCCTCCGCCAGATGCGCATGAGCGTCAGGAACCCACAGAGCCCCTCCGCGCGGCGTTTGGTCGCCGGAGGGCGAAACCCGAGCCGTTCCGTCGTCATTGACCTCGCCGAAGGTTGAACTCCGGTCGTATCGACGTGGCAGCGTCATTAGCGGCTAATGGCGCCGCTAATTAACCCCTTCAGTGACACTGACAGCTGGGCCCTGTGCCTAATTAACTCCGGTTTATTTTTTTTGTTTAAATTAGCTTATAATCCAGCGGGACCCACGCGTCAGGGTTGACTTGCTGATGTGTCAGTTGACCTAACCCCACCTGTCGGTGACCCAGACAGCACAGTGTGACTGACCAGTGGACCCCACTTGTCAGGTTTGACCTGGTCAGCCGCAGTTGACTTGCTGACGTCACAGTGACGCAGTGTTGACGCAGTGCTGACGCAGTTATTCATTTTCTGGATTTAAAATTAATCAGGAAATTCTAGAAAATGATTCAAACTTCAAAAAATCATAGAAATTCAACCGTAGCTCAGATTGAAATAATTTATATATGAAAAATTATCAGAAAAATGCAATCTATCCATCTGTTCTAGTTTCATGCATGACAAACCAACTTATACCTACTGTATAAGTGAAACACTAAAATGGCATATATAAGAGCTTAATTTGGAGTTGCATTTGAACCCTTGATTCAAATGGACTTCATTCAATATGAATACTAGTTGCATTAGCTCAAACAGCATCACATCTACATGTCATGTTCATGCATCATATTGTTACATATGTTGTGTATTGATTGCGGACACTGTTCCTTCTCGATAGGTCCTGCTCCGGAGTCCGTTCCAGAGTACCTGTCTGAGGAGCAGTGCCCCCTTGTTGATCTACCAGGCAAGCAAACCCCCTTGTTCATTTTGCTACAATCCTACTCTCTCGCTCCCGCTCTCAGTTATTGCATTAGGACAACAACGTTTCAACTGCTACTTTGTGCTGCGGTAGTTGAACCCATTCCTGTGCATGACCTGTCATTGCCACAGTAAATAGCGGAAACCCACTAGCATGTGTAGGAGTTGATTGAGCTATCTTGTGTTCCTATGATGCCATGCTTGCTATTGCTTAGAGTGTGTCAGGTCTGATTCATTGGGAATGAATTGGAGTGCAGTGTTCAATGTTTTGATGCTGAGAGTGAAGTGTGTGAACACGATTTGGTAAAGGTAGCGGTGAGAGCCCATGTAGGAGTACATGGTGGGTTGTCTCACTGGAACGTCCTTAAGCACTGAGTTCTATGTATGTTGTCCAATGACTCGATACTACCACACATTGGGCTCCGGGCGCTCCAAGCCCTCTCGACTTATTAACCAACTTGATCTCTGTCCAGGAGTCGCAACTAGTTTCTGGTGTTTGTAGGTAGTGTTAGTAGTCTACCAAGTGGCACTCGGCCAGGTGGGCTTGGGACAGACTAGGCACAGTGGCACGGTGTACCAAGTGGCACCCGGATGGTGGGCTTGGGAACCCTGCTCACATCGTTTGGGGCCGTGAGCGACACCCCGACCGGATCTCCTTGCGGATGGAACCCGAATAGGCGATGAACCTGGACTAGAGTCTTGTGTGGTTAGTCAGGTCGTGGCCGACTCCCTCGCCAGGCTTCCGCTTGAAGGTTGCCGAGATACACGACGTGTACATGGTGGTAAGTGGCGAGAGCGTGTGTGAAGAAGTACACCCCTGTAGGGTTAACATGATCTATTCGAATAGCCGGGTCCGCGGTTATGGACTTCTTGGATGCTTACATGGTACATAGACAACTTGAAGTGGATACTATAAAATGCTCAAGACAAGTGTGAGTGCTATGGATGGCATTCTCGTAAGGAGACGGGGATGAATCCATAGTAGTGTATTGTGTGGTGATTAATGGACTCGTGTGCACCATATCACCTCAAAGAAGTTCTCGTAGTCGTAGAACAGGATAGCCCACCGAGTCAAAGCTGGCTTGCTGCAACTAAACCCCACATTACCCTCTTAATACAAGTGCATGTATGATAGGATCTGATGTAAGACTTGCTGAGTACCTTTGTACTCATGTTGCTTTATTTATGTTTTTGCAGCGGAGACTTCGGTCTTACTAGTGTTCTTGTGGACTTCGACGAGTAGCTTGTACCTCAGCTATGGTCTTGATCGGATGTTGTAGATAGTCAGGCTTTTCAGCCTTTTTCCTTTGTAGATGTCTATACTCAGACATGTAATGCTTCCGCTTGTTGCTTGAATGCTCTGAATGTTGGGTCATGTGACCCCTTCTTGTAATAAATGCTATGATGGCTCTTTGAGCCTTATCTATATGAGTTGTTGAGTTATGCTATGATGCCATGTTGTACAGCACATGCTTGCATGTTATGCGTACGTTTAATGTGTATTGCTATGTGTGGGATCTGACTATCTAGTTGTTTATCCTTACTAGCCTCTCTTATCGGGAAATGTCTCCTAGTGCTTCCACTGAGCCCTGGTAGCTTGCTACTGCTCCAGAACACTTAGGCTGGCCGGCATGTGTCCTTCTTCGTTCCTGTGTCTGTCCCTTCGAGGAAATGTCACGCGGTGTCTACCGGAGTCCTGTTAGCCTGCTACAGCCCGGTTTACCAGAGTCCTGCTAGCCCAGTTGCTACAGCCCGGATTCACTCGTTGATGACCGACACGTTCGATGTTGGGTCATGTATGCCTGTCCCTGTAAGTTAGTGCCACTTGGGGTTCTCGACTAGCCATGTTAGCCCGGGTTCATTGTCATATGGATGCTAGCGACACCATCATATACGTGTGCCAAAAGGCACAAACGGTCCCGGGCATGGTAAGGCGACACCCGTGGGAATACCGTGCGTGAGGCCGCAAAGTGATATGAGGTGTTACATGCTAGATCGGTGTGGCATAGAATCGGGGTCGTGACAGCTTTGGTATCAGAGCCTGACTGCCTGTAGGTTTACCAAGCCAAACTGGTCGAAGTTGAGTCTAGAAATTCTTTAGTTATGTAAGGGAATTGATTGTGGGAAGGAACGTAAGGCTCTTTTTACTCCTTTACCTCATGGCCTTCTGATCTGAGTCATCCTATCCTTCCTGCGGGGTTAAGGAACTAGGCTTTCTCTTCTGTCTATCAGGATCACGTGTTACTACTCCGTAGTCCCATAGGATTGGTTGATCAGAGTCTTACCCCAGTTTCGAGTATTTCCGGTGTAGCATGTTTAGTATGATCTCAGAACCTTGAGTGGTGATGTTGAGTTGTTGTACTACTCCATTTTAGCAGGATGTCTCATTCTGAGCATTTTACTGCCGTTATGCTGCTGGAATTGCCCTAGGAGTCCGAGAGATACTATTTC